TACAGATTTCTGGCACTACAAATGCTTCTAAGGAGATAACCTTATTCCCGTTAACAGGTTCAAGCTTTAATTTGACCACCTCCCTGTGCTCGGCATTGGTACATTTTTGACTGAACGTATTAATCCCTAACAATTCCCTTCTTAAGCCCTTGGGATTCACAAGACTAGCTGCTTTAGAAGTAACAAAGGAACGATGACTTCTCGCATCAAAGAGAACCCGCACCTTAGCCACCCTTTCACCCCTTAAAACCCCGCGTGCAGTTTGCAAGGCAACCAGGCTACCAGTTCCCGCATGCAAGTTACTACTGGAACTAGTCACATGCACATTAGTATTAACAGGGACCTGTTTAGATTCTTCGTCAGGTTTGACTGTTTTATCACGTTTATCGTCTTCTTTAGGGCTTGCATCACACAATGCAACATGATGTGCCCCATTGCAAACATTACACCTATTTTTAACAGTACAATTACTGGCTCTATGGCCCTTAAATAAACAAAGAAAACATCTGCCATATTTACGAGCCAAACTCTTTCGTGTCCTCGGATCTTTCACTCCCTCACAGTCTTCATGGTTGTGGTTCTTCAGACAGAATGCACAGTTTCCTCTCCTTTCGTTTGCTAACAATGCAGCTGCAGTTCCATGATGATGTTGGCCATATTTCTTTATATTACCCGAATTTCGCTCGTGTTTTTCCTGCTCTCGATCCGAATTCATTCCCACTGCATGGTGCGCTTCACGAAGTTCGAGTTCCTTCTCAAAAGCGTTTAACATTTCTTCCATCCAGAAAGTTCTGCCCTCACGTGATGGTCAAACGAAACTGTTCTGGCAACTTTTCCATGATTGTCGGAACAACAATGGCTGAATACGAGTCTTCGTTCACTCCCAGGGCTTTCAATGTGCGGTTGTTCGCTTCGCAGCTGTCATACAACTTCCGTAATCTTTGTGTGTCTCTTTCTTTATAAACCGCCGGCAACTGTTTCAGTTCATTTACGTGCGCCCGTTGTACTGCGTTTTTCTTTTCGAACCGTTTCTTTAACAATTCCACCGCACACTTGTAATTCGCTCCCGTCAACGAGAGACCAGCGATGGTAGACTTTGCTGGCCCTTCCAAATATCCGTGCAGATAGGCGAACTTGTCAACATCCGACAATTGGTCATTGTTGTCCATCGAGCTGGAAAATCCATGCCAAAACTCTGGCCATTCACAAATCTTTCCTCCGAAATTCCGTAGTCTAAGTTTCGGAAGCTTCGCTCTTATGATTTTACCCGCACTTGATATTGAAACATGACTTTGATCAAGGTTTCCTTCGGCTGATGTGAGATTCGTTTGCGTCAACATTGGCATGAGGCTTTGTCCTCCGAGTTTTCCTAGCGCGTCATTGAGTTGAAGCAACGTTCTTTCCAATTCTGCGATCGCTTCGTCTGAATCCTCGATCTCTTTGCCAAGTTGTTCGTCGACGTCTTCGTCTTTCGATGCGCTGAGTATATCAATGACTTGTTCATCAAGCTCTTTCAACATATTGATTTTGTCTCGTAATGTGATCTGGCTTTGTCTCAGCCATACTAAGTCCTTCTCTGGGCTCTCTGGGCTTGCTTTCGGTATCGCTTCCATTATCTTTGCCACAAGCTTACTTGCAGATGCTCTGTGGCCTCCTCTAACTCGCTTTTTCTTTGTCAGATCATCCATACTCTTCGTTTTCAAACTTTACGCAAATCTTTCCACTATCGACGGCAGCGCAAATATCAAACGTTCTTTGTTCGCAGCCTCGTACACAATTCACAAATCCGGTTCGATCGGACCATTGTTTTGCAGAATCTTCACTTTGATCTCCGCGCACACTGGTTCACACACAATAACATTCAGGGGACTGTATTCTATCGATTTATTTCATTGGAAAGATTATCTATTTACAACGCGATTTTAGACTTCCTCGTCTCGCTAGGATCTGATCACAACTGAATTTATATATTTGCCTCAATCAATGTTGGTATTAAATTACAATGAATCACTATGACGTATTTTAAGCAATACTATATACATATTTGTACATTAAGTAGCAGAAGCAACTGCTGTGCGGAAAACTGGCGGCACTGCGCTGGGAACTTACAACAGACTTGATGAACAATGTTATGGTAATTTTGAGTTATTTGCGTAGCAAGATTTTGCAAAGGCTCAGTTCAGTTCATCACCAAAGCATTAACCAGGATAAGTTATCTATAACAATATATACCGTGCACTTAGGGGCGATTACATGGAGCATTTTCAACCCCGGGGTTGAACTCAGCCCTGTTTACCGGGTTCAAATTTCAGACCTGTCTGTAATACAAACTGTAAAACAAAATTAAACGCATGATTACATGACAAAATTTTCAACCCAGGGCTGAGTTCAACCCGGGGTTGAAATTTCAAGTACATGCAGCGTTTCAACCCCGGGGTTGAAATCGTTCATGTAATCGCAAAAAAATTCAACCCGGTTAACAGGGCTGAGTTTAACCCAGAGGTTGAAAGTTCTCCATGTAATCGGCCCCTTAACCTCCGAATATAACCCCAGGGTTTATAGTGTATTCGTTTGTAAACATTTTATGGGCTTATTCATGGGGGTTGGGCTATTTACGGGGGGCTTATATTAGTAATAATATTCATTGTCCTGATTTAAGTTTGATTTTTTCACCAAATATCATTCATTTCTTTGAGACTATGAAAGAATACGAACATTTTTATCCTGAAATTTCACAAGTATGATAAAGCATTCGCATCCGATCTGTATCATGCTTTATCTATTACTTATAATACTGTTTTATAATTATCGTCACTCGTCTCAGTTGTTGGAATCCTGGTCGCTGTGTTAATAAAGACAATAAATACCTGCCGAATAATAAATTCATACATGATGGGGCTTATATTCGGGTGTGGTTATATTCGGAATTACCTGACCGTTACTGAATAAGGTGGGCTTATTCACGCTGGAGGTTTATTCGGAGAATAGAAATTAAAGTCAGTTCAGTTATGTTTACAAAATATAATAATATGTGATTTCCATAAAAAAATTAATATAGTAATTCAAATCTAAGTAGTATTATAATAAAATACTATAGAGTTCACATATAGTCGACTATTCCTTTGTAACAATTAATAAAATGGTTTGGAATCTATTTTTCAGTGATATTCACTAACAAGCTACAAATGACTAACTTTGACACTAAACTTTCTCAAACATGCATACAAATAGGAAACTAGTTTTAATATCAGCAGAAAATATGATGTTTGTCCATGTGAACCCCAGACCAGCCACTAGACGTTTCATATATTGTACTAATACACCTTTTCGATAATTACGTCATGAAACGTTCTTAGCCTGCGAGCCTCGCTCTAATGCATCAAAACGGAAGGCGATTGGTTCACAATCATCCTGAAAATGAAGTTACCGCGCCGAGAAGAGATTTGTGACCTAATTATTGACACAGTGTATTATGCGTAGTATTAGGAAAATATCCTATTTTACAATTTTTTATATGAACTTACAACTACCGATATAAAACTATGTGAACCCCAGATCCGCTACCAGACGTGGTTTCATATTAACGGCTTATTGACCAAGCGTGAGTTCTGTACTGTAAGGTTTTTTAGTATCCAAAAAACAGAGGTCTGATATGTCACAGTACAGACTGACCAAGCGAGGTCAATAATCAGTTTATTATATGGCCGAACTGAGTCTGTGAGCATATGCTTTTCGCTCGAATTAAATCTGCTATCGTCAGTTTCACTGGGTAACAATATACGGAATAAGCATGCATGCTCAATCAAAAACAATTTGGTAGTTTGAAATTTTTATCTGTAAATTTTAATGACACACAATTGGAAAATTAAAAAGCAAACATTTTTTCTGTTTGCAAAACAAAAACTTCCTGCCAGATAAACGACATCCGGGACACCGGTACAGATACGGAAAATACGGACCATGGTCCGGATATGGGTTTTTACGGACCGCTTGTCAACCAATTAGAATAGAGAATTTTGAAAATCCATATAATAAAATGTACTAATTAATATATTCTGCGTTGTATTAGAAAAACACCCAATTTTACATGTGATAGAAGGATTCAACAAAACTGGCTGAAATTTTAATATGAAGTTACCACTACTGATATAAAACTGCCGTATAAATATCAGGAGAAAATATGATGTTTATCCATGTGAACACCAGACCCGCCACCAGACGTGGTTTCATATGTTGTATTAATTCTGGGTTGTATTAGCAAAATACCCAATTTTACATGTGATAGAAGGATTCGACAAAACCAGCTGAAGCCAGTTTTATGTTATAAAATCATTATACCACTATACTGTTAATACCCAATTTTACATATGATCGAAGGATTCAGTAAAAATAGCTGAAATTGTAATATGAAGTTACCACAACTGATATAAAACTGCCGTATAAATATCAGTAGAACCCGCCACCCGCCATGGTTTCATATAATGTACTAATTTGGGGTTGTATTAGAAAAATACCCTATTTTACATGTGATAGAAGGATTCAACAACACTAGCTGAAATTTTAATAGAAAGTTACCACTACTGATATAAACCTGCCGTATAAATACCAGGAGAAAATATTATGTTTATCTATGTGAACCCGAGATCCGCCACCAGACGTGGTTTCATATAATGTACTAATTGTGGGTTGTATTAGAAATTAATACCCAATTTTACATGTGATAGAAGGATTCAATAAAACTGGCTGAAATTTTAGAATGAAGTTACCACTACTGATATAAAACTGCCGTATAAATATCAGGAAAAAATATCAGGTTTATCCATGTGAACCCCAGACCCGACACTAGACCTGGTTTCATATATTGTATTAATTCTGGGTTGTATTAGAAAAACACCCAATTTTACATGTGATAGAAGGATTCAAGAAAACTGGCTGAAATTTTAATTTCAAGTTACCACTACTGATATAAAACTGCCGTATAAATATCAGGAGAAAATATCAGGTTTATCCATTTGAACCACAGACCCGCCAACAGACGTGGTTTCATATAATTAAATGCATGTACTAATTTTGGGTTGTATTAGAAAAATACCCAATTTTACATGTGAGAGAAGGATTCAACAAAACTAGCTGAAATTTTAATAGAAAGTTACAACTACGGATATAAACCTGCCGTATGAATATCAGGAGAAAATATGTTGTTTATCCATGTGAAACCCAGACCCACCATGATCAGACGTGTTTCACGTATACAAATTAATTAATTATAGGTTGTATTAGAAAAATATCCAATTTTACATGTGATAGAAGGATTCAACAAAACTAGCCGACATTCTAATATGAAGTCACCACTACCGATATATAACTGCCATATAAATATCAGGAGAAAATATGATCCATGTTTATCCATGTGAACCACAGACCCGCCACAAGACGGCGGTTTCATATAATGTACTAATTCTGGGTTGTATTAGAAAAATACCCATTTTACATGTGATAGAAGGATTCAGTAAATACAGCTGAAATTTTAATATGAAGTTACCACAACTGATATAAAACAGCTGGATAAATATCAGGAAAAATATCAGGTTTATCCATGTGAACTCCAGACCCGCCACAAGATGTGGTTTCATATAATGTTAAATCTGCGTTGTATTAGCAAAATACCCAATTTTACATGTGATAGAAGGATTCAATAAAACTGAATCAAATTTTAATATAAAGTTAGCCCAACTGATATAAAACTGCCGGATAAATATCAGGAAAAATATCAGGTTTATCCATGTGAACCCCAGACCCGCCATCAGGCGTGGTTTCATATAATGTACTAATTCTGGGTTGTATTAGAAAAATACCCAATTTTACATATGATAGCAGGATTCAGTAAATACAGCTGAAATTTTAATATGAAGTTACCAAACTGATATAAAACTGCCGTATAAATATCAGTAGAACCCGCCACCCGCCATGGTTTCATATAATGTACTAATTTTGGGTTGTATTAGAAAAATACCCTATTTTACATGTGATAGAAGGATTCAACAAGTATAGAGAGTATAGAGAAAAGTATAGAGAGTTACGACGAGTAACAAAATACGTCATCACCAACAAACGGAAACAGTTTTTTGAATCCATGCCCGCCTTATTGAAGTCAAGTAGCAAGAAGTTTTGGTCAGTGTTTAAGTCCGTTCGTAAGACCTCGAGCGTTCCCAACAAAATGACTTGGTCTGATCATGATGGAGTAACCTCTACAGCCAACAACCCAGCCGACATCGCCAATCTACTAAATCGCTATTTCTACTCCGTTTTCCAACCTTCTCATAGTAATAATGATGAACATACTCTTTCCATCTTCTCATCTCTCATCTTTTCATCTCGGTAGTCGGTAACGAATGCTAATGTTTTCATGAGTTGCTCATGGTGGATATGTATCCTAAAGCTTCAGATGCTGTAAAATATGATAGTATGAATATTAGTCTAGAAGGGTCATTTTTTAGAAATTCATGGCAGGGCGAAGTTAGCAAGAAATTTGCGAGGCAATTTAGACGATGCTAGACGTATTTGACATGTTATGGCCTTTCGACGACTTGAGCCGCATAATAACACCATTTTTAGCGATCTCGTTTGCGTTGTGTGTTTCGGATATTAGACAGATTTAGATCGAGGACGCGGACGTCAAAGACGATGT